CGGTCCTGTGGTTCATTCTGACCCGCCTGAACCCCCTGGGTTTTCTGGGAGGAAGCTCCGTCGGCTCCCCGGGGCTATCCAGACTGATATGCTAATGTCAGACTTTGGCATCAGTCATGTGTATGGAGTTCTGTGGGCCTACTGGGGACCACGAGCCAGAACCTGTTGGAAGCATTCTATCTCTGCCATCGACCAGGTTAGGCACCCAGAAAGGTAAGCCTCCCAAAACAAACCCCCTATTCTGGTGAAAATTGCTAGAAAAAGCCGAACAAGTGGATAGAACTCCCCAAACAGAAACGAACAAATGAACATGTCACACGTCACCGCGCCGCTGTCTGTGCAGCTTCCCCCTCCTCAGGATGGGGAAGGGGGATCCCCAGACCCCCGCGCTGGCCATCCACATCTCAGTTCTGAGGCTGATGCTATAGGCAGCGGTTGTGTGCTCTGGCTCTAGTGATTGTTTCAGCACTGTGCCTTGTGTGTGGTGACTGTCTTCTAGGTGGTGCGCGAACCAGGAGATATTCTTCAGTACTCGGGCTGCATGTGCCTAGGGCTCCCTTCCCTACGTGCCCAGTAAGTACTGCCCTTGGGGTCTGGGGCCACCTTCCACAAGTTCCTTCTTGAGGTTATCTTGAGATGATTTCGAAGCTTAGCATCCCACCAGCCCGGTCCTAGACCAGGCCTCCTTTTTATTACAACTTCCCCCCCCCCCCCATCAGGAAGCAGCCCGTAGCAGCTATCTAACTCCCAGGTACCTATTTACTGCTAGGTAACAGGGGCATCAAGGTGAAAGAAACATTTTGCCATTTGTCTCCGCCTCCACCGGGGATCGAACCAGGAACCTCAGGACTACGAATCCAAAGCGCTGTCCACCCAGCTGTCAGGCGCTTTGGGTTCCTTGGGTTCTGCCTCTGCTAGGCCGTTTACTCCTCGGTTTTTGGCTGCCCTTTGTGTGCTGGGGTGTTTTGTCTCCCTTGTTTACCTTAGGGTAAGGGGCATTTTGCACTGGTACAGGGCGCAGGGTACTTCACAGCTTGTTTTCACCATTCATAGCGGCCGGCTCTGTTCCACCTGGGTACGCTGTCTGCTTGCGGGGTTTTCATTTTGTTTTCCTGCCTGGTGGGGAAGCCCTGTCTTGGTTGCCCCCTGAGTATGGTTCCTGGGTCCTACTTTTTCTTCAGGTGGTACCCCCTGTAGGTCCCCGTGAATGTACACGTCCCGGGGTTCAGCTCTTAATTAACAAGTCATTTGGTAGATTTGGGCGTCGGTTAGCAGTACCCTGCCTGGGCTTCCCTCAGTGAGAGTTGCATCTCAGGACCCTGGGAATCCCCAAGGGGGCGCATGGGTCTGATGGATGTGACCCGAGTCCCCCCTCGCTTTGTGCGAGTTCGAGGGTTGCTCTGTCCCCCTTGTCTCAGGGTGACTTTCATTGTTTTTGCCTCCGTCACGCTGGCTGTTGGGTCGGTGACACCTTCGACCCGAAGTCCTGCGAGTTCTGTTGCTTGCTGGTGACTCAATTTATCCAGTCTAGTGATGACGTTCTTCGGGTACAGGTAGCGCAAGCGTTCCATGTTAGGTTTAGGTTGTTGCAATGCGCTAGGTTTGTTGCTACGCCGGATGCCCCAAGGCTGCTCCGTTTTGCTTATAGGGACCCAGACTTGGGGGTGATGGTCGCTTCGGCCTTGGTTTCATCCGCGCCACCTCATCCTTCCCCTCCTGTGGTTGGGCCGGGGCCAGCCCAGCTCTTCTGGCTCCGAAACGTCTGAGGGTTTCCGAGTCGGGGGCAGGGTTTAGATGGGCTTGAGACTCTGGCAGTTTCAGAGGATGCCTCTTCCGGTGTGGCAACGGAGGCATTCGAGTCTGCTCTCCCTGCCAAAGCCTCTGGGTCTGACCAGTGGACCCCCTTCCTTACGGCTGCGCCGGCCTTTACTTTTGAGGTTGGGGCTTTGGGAGAAGACTCAGACCAAGATCCGGATGCGAAGGATCCCGGAGAGGGGCCGGAGAGGGGGCTGACTTGGGGGCCTTGGGCCCCGTTGGACCCCGCCTGGGTTTTTCAGCACTCTGAGCGGAGCTTACTGTTACAAGGAGAGGGGTTTTCCCCTTTGCGTACGATTTGGGTCTTTGTTTCCCTACTGGATTCGGTGTGAGGTTCCGGAGTTGTCCTGGCTGGCGGACTGTCCTGTTTTTGGTTTGGAGGCGTGGCATTTCTTCTGTCGTTTCCGCACACTTGAATGGCATGAGGCATTGACGGTGATCCAGGTTTTCCTGGTGGGTGAGTTTGAGCACCTAAATGAGTGCTTGTTTGCCCCTACCCTTCCTCGGGATGTAGGCATTGTGCAGCTCCATATGGAGGTCCCTTTCCTTTCGGCTACGCAGGTTGCTGAAGACTTGCGCGCTCGTGGAGTCTTGGCTTCGGCTTTGCGCTTCTTTTCCTCCTTGAGCTGTCTTCAGACTGGCTTGGAGAGGACGTGGAGGCGCTTGGGGCCATTCCTGGGTCCAGTGCCTTGGGCTCGGTGGCTCGCTCGTCGTCTGCCTTGTTGAAACTGCTTGCGCCGATCCTGCGGGCTGCGGTGTCGCCGTTTTATGCCTCCCTGGGGTCTGGCTGGGCCCTGGCTCTTTGGTTGTCCTCACGCTTCTGCCCCTTGCTGTTTGCAGATTCTGCTGTGGCGCATTATCTGCAAGCGGCTCAGTTAGTTGTCCCATGTCTGATTTGTTGGTTCTCCGGGGGCCAAGGGGGATTTTCCCGGAGGGGTTGTGCCAGGGCTCAGGGTTTTGCTCATCGAGGTAAGCCACTGGTGTCAGTTTCAGGGCCGATGCCTCCTACAGAACCACCTTCATCCGGTCGGTGCAGTGTTCGCTCTGTATGGGGCTCGAGTTCTCGTAAGGGGTGCTGGCCCTTTCATGGTTCGTCCCATTGACTGGGGGATGGGGGAGGAGGCTTGCTCTGTTTGCTCACGCCTGGTCTCACGATTTGTGGGTGTGTCGGGTCGTCTCCGATTGTCTGCAGTGGAGTTGGGTGGCTCCAACTTCATGGGGCTGGGGGCTCGGGGCTGACAGGGCAGGCCTCTTCCCCTGCGCTCTGTCAGGTCATCTTGGAGTGGGTTCGCTTCAGCGTGGTCAAAACGACGACGTCCCTCAGGTGGGTCTCCCGCCTGTTTCCAGTCCCGTTTCCCTGAGGTTCATTCTGGATTTGTCCCATTTGAACCCCTGGGTTCATTGCCCCTCCTTTCGGATGACTGTCCCAGGTCCGGCTTCTGTTGAAGCCGGGCACTTGGATGGTGTCACTGGACCTCCGGCACGCATATTGGCACGTCCCGATTCATCCGGGGTTAAGGGACTGGCTCGGTTTTGTTGTCAGGTGTCAGAGTTGCCGCTTTCGTCGTCTCCCGTTCGGGTTGCATCTGGCACCTCACGTTTTCACATGCATTTTCATACACGACAGGTTGTGGTGGCCCGTCTGTGTCTTTTAGGTGTTCGGGTGTTGGCCTACCTCGACTACTGTCTGGTCTGGGCTCCCAGCCGGTCCACATGTTTGCTAGCCAGGAGTTTGGTTCTTTCCCAGCTCGCTGGGTTCGGGTTCTTGGTGAACTGGAGGAAGTCCCATCTGGTCCCCTCCCAGCTTCAGACTTGGCTGGGACTCTCAAACCGCTTCCTTGTCTCTCCCTCCGGAGGGCTCCTGGGTCACCCAACGGTTGCTCGAAGGTCTGTGCGGGAGCCTGAACTTTGCAATGTTGATCTATCCGCTGGGTCAGGTTTGGCTGTGTCACCTGTTCTGGTTCCTTTGGGGACGTCCCTTCCACTTCTCTCGCGATTGCTGGGTTCGACCCCCGAGGGCCTTGCGTCAGTTGCTGCGTCGCCGGCTTCCCCCTTCGGATTTTTCTGGGTTCAGTGCCATGGCACCTACCCAAGCCCTCGCTCGATGTGTTCACAGACGCGTCATCTCTTGGCTGGGGCTTTGTGACCAGTGCTCACCAGGCCAGCTAGGAGCGTTGGGGTCCGTCCTTCCTTTGGGCCCACAGCACGGTGCGGGAGTTCGCAGCGGTTTGGTTTGCGCTTCGCAGGGTTTGGATCGCCCGCGGATCAACGATCCAGCTCCATTCGGACTGCGTGAACCGAGGGGTTTCGATGCGGTTCCTGGCTCTGTGGCACTGGTCGCTTTGGGTGACTCATCTGCCGAGTTTTCAGGGTTTGGCTCTCCTGGCAGTTCAAGTTCGGGGGGGGGGGGTGTTAAACGTCTTGGTGGACGGCCAGTCTAGGCTTGTTCCCCTGTCCACGGAATGAACGGTTGACGCCGACTCCTTCAATTAGCTCTGCCAGAAGTTTGGGTGCTTGGAGGTGGACCTCTTCGCGTCGGCGTAGTTGCAACGCCTACCGGTGTATGTGGCGCCCTTCCCCGATTGCGTGGCCGTCGGTATCGATGCCTTTTGGCAGGACTGGTCAAGGTTGGGGTTCCTGTACCTTTTTTTTCCCGGTTTAGCTGTTGCTCCAGATCCTGACCTGGAGTGATCGACTTGAGACCGTTGAAAGATGCACATCATTGTGTCTAGCAAAGACCCCCCCCCCACACACAAAATTTTTAGTTAATTTCAGAGATGATGCTTCTTGCTCCAAGCAACCTTATTGCCCAAGCACTATGGATGGCTCCTGTATGAGAAGATTCAATCCAGGTTACAGGCAGATGTTGTTTTCATAGGGGGTTAGGCCCAGTTATTCATTAACTGACTTTTCTGAATTAATCTACTATGAATCCAGTAATCTATTGTGTTAGTATTATTAATGATCCCATAGCCCTGGATCTGTCTCTTGGATTGATGAAATCCTTTACTGTTACAGATTTGGGCATTTCCTCTTGTAAAATGTCACCAGCAACAGGCAATGATGGGAATCAAGATACGATGATAACCACTGTCTAAGGGTTAAATAAAATTGTATAAAATATGATGTACTTGTGCCTTGAGACCATATAATGTAATATATTGATACTATTTTTTGTATTTTAGGTATGTTCCTTGTGATGATAAACCACAAGCCAGGATATCACCCATGCAGCCACTGGCACACAGTTTGAAACATGAGAGACTACCGAGCCTTGACCAGTCTTGTGAAGATTATGTAGAGTTACTTAAAAAAAAATATGGTTTTTGATATCTCCATAATAATGATATATTTCTACAATCTCAAGTATTTAGAACTGTGTTCATAATACATTTTCTCATTATTTTAGTTTGAATTACTAGTTGTATGCTGTATTATTTATTACTAGTAAGTTGTATGATGTATTATTTATTACTAGTACTTTGTTATACACGTGGAGACGAGCAATCTCATGACTAGTTAAAATTTAATCACACTTTTTTTTTTTTTACCATGTGTGTAGGTACTTTTAATCTTTCCTACTGGCAGGTGTTTGATTATATATGTGAGAATGGCAATTAGGAGTTATATAATTATATATATATATACATACACAGTATTCATAACAATGCTTTACTGCTTCACTATACTGTACAATAGAACATACTGTAGTATATTGATTAAATATTTGATACAATAATACCACACTTCAACATTTGTATGACTTATAGCTTTACATATCTAATAAGTTGTATTTTTATTTATTATTGGGTAATATTTAGCCAAAGACATTTTAAATCTTTGTAATAAGTGGACTTTATCGGCAGAAACCAAATTCTCAAATTTCTAGAGAAAAGTCATTTGACTTGAGCTTAAAACTAGTGGAAGAATGAACACATACATAATGTTTATCAAGTTATCAAACATGCAGGACATTGATTGAACACCAGTACTGGTAACTATTTTATATTAGACCATAACAGTTTCATGTAACAAAACTTCACATGAAATTAAATGAACTTAGGTTAATAAGAAAAATTAATAATGAACTTAATGAACTTTAAATTTTAAAATACAACTTGTAAGCTGCAAATTTTAATGATTAGATTTGACATGCCAAAGAACATTCTGAAAATATGTATAAATAATAATTTATATTTTATAATATTCTATATAGTGTTTTGTATACCTAAAACTGAAACATGACTAGTACTGTGCACACACAGCATGTGTGGATATAGGACCTAATGTACAATTTTTAGTAAAGAAAAGAGGGAGGGGAGGTGAGTGAACTCCATTTTCTGGGTGAAACCCCAGTTACTCCCCCCCCCCCCAGAAAAACAGCATTGAAGGTAATGAATTGCCTGTGTTAGTGCCCCGGTGGTTCTCTAAAGGTATCTCACCGAGTCACATCTCTCATAGGCGTCCTGTTAGGTCTACCAGGGACTGGAGCCACAGCCTGGTTCACTTATACATGCACAAAAGGCAGGAGAGTGTTAGTCACCCACACTGAGAAAGCATCCAGAAAGTAGGCAAAGCCATAGAGACAACTGCACAGTTCATAGAAAATGAAGCTCCAGAACAGCCAAATGATTTAAATGACTGAGTTTGAAGTGAACCAAAATGGTTCACACAAACTTCTCTAATTCCCCATCTATCATAAGGAAGCAAAATACAGTAACAGTTTAAGAGCACCCATTGCCTTCCCCCCCCCCCCAAAAGAAAAGGGAACAAGCCATGATGATAGCCAATCTATATTTCATGCCCAAGACAGTAAGGCACTGTCCCAAGGAGAAGGATCAAAGGAAGAAATTAGTTGAGAGGGCAACACATCTTCGGCAGGATTCAACTTCCTCCGCTGTTGAAGTTGCCCCCCAAAGTGGCCAGAACCCCTCAAATGCTCCAGAGTCAAAATTATGGAAAAAGGGGAGAGGACCAGATGTTGGATGAACCACACAGGGAGATGAGGGGGGAATTTAAAAGTGGTAGCATACACCAACACCTCCAAATATGGGTCCCCTAAATACCACAAAGGTCACCTCCAATCAAACACCATGCCATTAACCCCAAATGAGTGGGAAACGAGCCTACAAAGCTGTAGCTGCCTTATATGCCTTCTACTTTGAGGCAGGCTCATAATATACTGTACAGACCCAACTTCCAAGACTCGGTCAAAGGTGTCATTGACTCGACAGGCAACAAAGCAGACAAAATAACTGCGCATGTAGCAAGGCCAACTAGCATACTTTAAATTCAAACATAGCAAAAGTAGACTCAATGATTCAATCTATGATAAGCTACATTGGAGGGGAGTTACCAGGGTCTGAAGGTGACAAACCAAGCTGGACACCCAAGTATTTGGGAAATTCACCGAAAGAGCAGACACCTAATTGAGCCTAGGAAAATACTCTGCTACGAGAGGTGTCTGCAGCATGTCATATCAACAAGCATGCGTATCCTAACACACCCTACAATTCGCAACCAACAGAATGCCCACAACCAGAGGGCCTGGCAGAGAAGTCAATGATCCGTGCATCACCCAAGGTGATAGACCCCTCGTAAGTGGCCTGGCCTCTCAGGAACAAACTCCTGAACACACCAGAAAAATAAGTCAGTACAGTCAGTGCAGGAAGGGGGGGGGCCAGCACTTAATGAGCATCTAGGGAAGGGTCACCCTAGAGACATAGCTTGTAGTAAAGAATAGACAATTCCAGACATGAAGTGTAGCAGATACACATGTTAAAAAAATTCTATCAAAAGAAGGAATAACAACCACTCGAATGGCCTCCCAAGAAGGAAGTCCAAAAGATGTCCACCACTTACCCGAGAAATAGGAGTGGGACTCACTATGATTTGGTGACTCAGGAAGGTCTATTTGGGTAGACAAATCAGTGACAGGATTGAGAGCTCTAGAACACAACCTGTTGGCTGTCTTGCACACTAGAGGATTCAAGTGAAGCTTCAAGTAAGGCATTTTGGTTCTTAATGAATCAGTCGCAAAGTTTTTGGCGTTTCATTTTATGTGAATCTTGCAATCGTCCATATTGCTTCACTTACTCACAACTAGGTGAGTACTTACTTTCCAATTGCTTTCTCTGTGTGGGTGATTGTAACACTCCCCTGCTCTCCGCACCTGAGGGGGCTCGGGTCCCCAGTATGCCAAACAGGACTTCTGTGACTGTAGTGGGAAGTCATCTCGACAAGATAGCTTCAGGAAGTCACTGGGGGCTCCTCACCCTTGCCCAAAAATAAATGAGTATACACATATTGTATGCTAGAAACATTTAAGTAATTAAATTATCAATACAAGTAAACAATCACATAAGCCAATACAGTAAACCCCAGTTAAATGTGTAATTACTTTCAGTTATTGATGAGCAAAACAACCAGCATTGAATGTAATGAAATGCTTTTTTTTGGTGGGAACCACTTGATGGCTCTATAGTTAGCTGCACTGCTGTAGCTCCACATTTCACATCAGTCCTACGAGTCCTTTAATAGCTTACTGGAAACCAAAAGCCAAAGCCTGGCCTCTTCACAGAGCTGCAGGGAGCAAGGGATTTATGATCACATTACCAAAGAAACAAACCCCATCACACAGTGAAACAGAGAACAGCAAAGTTCACAAAGTAAACAAAGCAGCAAACAATCTACCTAGTAGTTAGGCCATACTGCTTCCCCACTGATAACAGCTGATCACCACCAAGTGGGAGCACCACGGGAGCTTCTGGCTCCCCCATGTCAACAATCCTCAGTTTTAGGCCAAATAAAATATGAACCATGACACCTGGTAAGGAGAGGGTTCAGGGAGTCACAAACCCCCACCTCAGAAAGAAGAGTTTCATTACATTCAATGTTTATTTTTCTGGAAGGACTGAACAATGGATTGTGGCCAATGGCCACAAAGAAAACTAAAAAATGTGACTCACCAGGGAGGGGGGGGGGGGTGTGGAGGGAAGAGCAACGATCAAATCCCTGAAGGGGAGAGACCAGGGCAATATGAGCATGACAAGAGACCAGGGACACTTACCAGGTAAAAGAGTTGCCAGGACCCTGTTAGACCCCCCAAAAACCCCTGAACCCAGATATCAGCCCAAGATATGTAAGAAAAGGCATCAATCAGAGAGCCACAAACTTCCAAACATTATGGGCCAGAGGGTTGACCATAGGTTGGCTAGAAATAATACCACAGACAGCCTGAGACAAACAAGCCTTGGAACAAGGGACAGGTTAACAATAAATCTGAAGCAACCAGCGTCACTCCTAAGTAGCAACAAATAGCTGCAACCAGACGAATGATGCACTTTTGGCCAAACAAACAACAAATCAATAACCAAGGGGGACCACCTCCAGAAGCAAACAATCTCATTCTTTGCCAGAAAAGAAGACAGCTGCAAACAAATTGCCCCCTCCAGGGCTAAAAGAAATACCCACTTACAGTGGAGAGCATGAAGCTCCCAAAACTTTACAACCTGAAGCAAGAACCAGCAAAAACAAAGCCTGGAAAAAAGGAATCACAGACCACCGGGACAACCTTGAGGTTACCTTGAGGTGATTTCGGGGCTCATCGACCAGGCCTACTCGTTGCTGGACTGATCAACCAGGCTGTTGACCACGGCTGCTCGCAGCCTGATGTATGAGTCACAGCCTGGTTGATCAGGTATCCTTTGGAGGTGTTTGTCAAGTTCTCTCTTGAACACTGTGAGGGGATTGCCAGTTATGCCCCTTATGTGTAGCGGAAGCGTGTTGAACAGTCTCGGGCCTCTGATGTTGATAGAGTTCTCTCTCAGAGTACACTACCTGTTGCACCTCTGCTTTTCAACGGGGGTATTCTGCACATCCTGCCATGTCTTCTGGTCTCATGTGATGTTATTTCTGTGTGCAGGTTTGGGACCAGCCCCTCTAATATTTTCCACGTGTAAATTATTATGTATCTCTCCCGCCTGCGCTCAAGGGAGTACAGATTTAGGCTCTTTAGTCGGTCCCAATAGTTTAGATGTTTTACCGAGTGGATTCTAGCAGTAAAGGATCTCTGCACGCTCTCCAGGTCAGCAATTTCTCCAGCTTTGAAAGGGACTGTCATTGTGCAGCAGTATTCCACTCTAGAGAGCACTAGTGTCTTGAAAAGTATCATCAGTATAGCATCTCTAGTGCGAAAGGTTCTTGTTATCCAACCTGTCATTTTTCTTGCAGTTGTGACGGCTACTTTATTGTGTTCTTTAAATGTAAGGTCTTTCGACATCAGTACACCCAAATCCTTTACATTGTCTTTACGTTCAATGTTATGATTTGACCGAGTTTTGTACGTGGTTTCCGTTTTTATATTTTCATTTTCTCCATAGCGCACAAGCTGAAACTTATCTTCGTTAAATACCATATTATTTTCTGTAGCCCATAGCAAGACCTGATCTACATCTGACTAGAGGTTTGCCATGTCCTCTATGTTGTCTACTCTCATAAAAATCCTAGTGTCATCTGCAAAGGATGATACAGTACTATAGGTTGTGTCCTTGTCTATGTCCAATATGAGGATGAGAAAAAGTACTAGAGCAAGCACAGTACCCTGGGGGACTGAGCTCTTTACGGTTGATGGTCCTGATTTTATTTTGTTGACTATTACACATTGGGTTCTGTTGGTCAGGAAATTGTAGATCCATCTGCCTATTTTTCCGTCTGCCATCTGCCTTTGACAAATGTGACCATGGTCACATTTGTTAAAGTCTTTTGTGAAATCTGTGTAAATTACATCAGCATTTTGTTTGTCTTCCAGGCATCTAGTGCTATGTCATAGTGGTCCAGCAACTGTGATAAGCAAGAGCGCCTTGTTCTGAAACCATGGTGTCTGGGGTTATGGAGATGCTGTGATTCCATGTATTTTGTGATCTTACTTCTTAGCACTCTCAACGATTTTTATGATGTGCGATGTTAGTGCTATCGGTCTAATTTTTTACCTATGCCTTATTTCCTCCTTTATGGAGTGGTGCTATCTCTGCTGTTTTTAATATGTCAGGGATAATGCCAGTATCTAGGCTTTGTCTCCAAAGAATGTGAAGGGCCTGCGATAGCAGTTTTTTACAGTTCTTGATGAATATAGTTCCAAGAATTGGGGCCTGGTGCAGAGTGCATAGGCATACTGTCTATGGCTTCTTCAAAATCGAGTGGGGATAGGGTG